AAAAGTCAAGGAGGAAAACGCAAGGCGATGTCTACGAGACAAAGAGGAGGGTTGATGCGGACATGACAAGAAGTGACAAGAGACAGAGGGGTGAGAGTGCGACAGAGGGAGGGAGACTTCAGAAGCATATGATTGGTCACTACTGCCAACATTTGGAGCACAAACACTCTTTACTACACACACACATTAGATACATCTCAGAGCCTCTCCGGCAGATTTCAGCATGTTAACCTGACTCACCCCGCTCACCCCATCTCACCCTGCCACACGGGCTCCACAGGGGTCAGGGAGAGAGGGGCGGGGACAGAGAAACAGCATTAGTATTGGGACGAAAAAGTGGGAAATGAGGAGAGAAAAGCAAAGAGAGGAGGGGGAAGAAAATGAGGAGGTACAGGACGGTTTAGAGGAAGCCAAGAAGCACCGCTGAGATCAGTGGGGTAGAAATTAAGTGCGCTCTTTTTTGGCGGTGTAGGGAATGCATGGGGGGGCGAGGAAAAATGAAGAAGGGGAAAAGGGGAGGAGAAGGAAGGCGTGGAGTAAATTACAGAGGGAATGAGAGCAATCGGAAGGAATAGCAGGGTGGCTGATGTGCCTGGAGCTGGAATTGTGGAGCAGCAAACAACAGAGATAATAAGAGAATCTGCTGAAGGCACGCGCTACACTCAGTAATTATATGGAAAGAGCAGCCTGGCTTAATTAGAACAGGATGGAGCTCATGAGTGTGACAGAAACAAATACACATGAAACATAGCATTTGCGAGGTGAATTATTACATCATTTATTATTCCCCCGCGTGTTACCGCTGGTGGCTTTTCATAATGAGGTTCATGGACATGCGAGCGCTCATCACTGCTACTCCATGTATGCAAATGTGCGAACGCATGCAGAGTGGAGATATAAAGGAACAGTGATGCGTGCGCTCATGCAACTTGCTGACCGAGAGCTAAGGCAACGGATGATTCTACATGTGTCACTTCTAACTGATCTGTTTATTTAAGGATTGGCTCTGCTCCTACACCTTTATTATTACACAAGAGCAAGCTGACGGGGCACATGTTCATTTTCAATAACATCCTCCTTCACATTCACGATTAGAAGCTGCTCAAGTGCCACCAGCGTCTCACAGAGCGACTGGGGGTTAAGTGTTTCTCATTTGTTTTTTTTACACGCCATTCATTCATTCTTAATACAGTGTATTTGTGGTGACTCCATTTCAAAAAGATAAAGGCAGGGAAACCGAGAGTGATATCAGTTTACACTGCATGCATTTGCTCGTCAGCTTTTCCACAATTAGACATCCATTCAGTTTTTATGTTATTATATAACAATGAAGAAGAATCTGAAATCTGATGTTCTAATTTAATGGATGCTAATATTTCTCTTTTAAATTTGAATTAAAACCGCTTTTTAATCCTGGCGCTGTGACTACAAATGTGTTCTGGTGCCAGTTTTTGTATTTGTTTTAAGAGAATAAGCATTTGTGGGTGATTGCCATGTATGCGGCTGCTAATACAATTTAAATGTTTGCTTGGCTGCATTATGTGTGCTGTGAATCCTAGCTACCACAATACAGTGAAACAAAATGTGTGCTCCATACTACTGTGCTGTTACTACAAACGTATACTGGTGCCAGTGTTTTATTTTGAATTAAAACAACAAGCATTTGTGGAGGGATGTTTGAAATAAACTGCCTCTGGAGGGAACATTGGGATTGTAGCCTTTGCAGACCATTGACATGCACAATAACCTACAGTATATAACACACTACAGGGAAAAGGGAACACCACAAGGAGCATAATTGGGCCTCTTACAAATTGCTGTGTTATTTGTGCTTGTGAATCCTAGCTGCCACAATATAGTGAAAATAAATGTGTGCTCCATACTACTGAAATGTTACAAATGGCATAACACCGTGGAGAGAAAAAAACACAAACCGACTATTTGTGAGGTTTTCTTGTTACATAAAGCTAACTTCAGTCAGTCAACGATTCGTAATAATGAGAAGATGCATAATGAGTAAGTGATCCAGTGTTGCCCGGGTCTGTTGTGACGGTTACACTGTGTGTGGCACCAAACACTGCACAACACTATCTGCTTACACCATTATCAGTAGCTACTCAATACTATTGACCTGCACCGAGAGGCTCAGTGCATTTGCACTCACTCAGTATCACAATTAGACCCAGGAGTAAATAAGACATAGTTACAATACCTGCATACAGACACGCGCGGAAATTATTGTAACATAATGGTTATGAAATCATTGCCAGCCTTGCATTCATTACATCATGTTTCGCAGCAGTCAGGCATGCATGTCATACAGACAACTCTCTTACACACACTGCTGTTATCGCATCAACCATTTGTATCAAGCACATACTGTAGAAACCCCATGTCTGTCTTGTCCACACGAATGAAATCAACCTAAGTGTGTGTAGCTGCAGGCACAGCATGCTAAAGAATGTGTGTCCTGACTATATGTGAGTATGAGCAGTCCCAGCGCAATTCTTCAGTTTAGTGGAGCATTACGGCTGATCAATAGCTCTGGTGCGGTGGGAGATGTCTGAGGTTGGGGGTGCATATTCATACCAGTATGTACGGCAGAGCAGAGGAATGAGGCAATGAAGAATGTGTGTATATATATATAGGTTTTTGTGAGGGTGGATTGCTCTAAGGGGGGGCATGACAGGCCCTGTCACCTAGCAGACCACACTGTTACCAAGTTACTTTACGGAACCCGGGGAAGGTTGAGCAGCAAAGACACAGCATATCTCTTCCTCTGGGCTTCCTGTCTTTATCAGTGCTGTCACCGGGCTTTAACATCCTCGTCTGCTCGCTCCTTTGGCAGCAAGCCCGGCCTGTCCTTTTACTCCCTTTGCTCCTGCTTTTCCTTCCAAAGTTTGTGATCCTCCCGTCACTAGTTTTCTTTACTCCCTTTCCAGTGTTTTCAGGCTTTGCTGACGGCTCATTATTCTTCTGCTCTCTGTGTCTGTTGTTTCGTCTGTCCGTCAGATTTTATTGTCTTCAGTTGAGATGTTATTGTAGAAAAAGCATTGTTGGTAATTACAGAGCGCAGGTCAAGCAACACTTAATTTGTCTTGCACACAGGCCAACTGCCAATATCAGTGGGCAGTGCTCATCCCCAACAGCAGTGCTGCAACACAGCCGAAGTTCTGCATCACTAATGATCAGCATTGTTGATTCTACCAACTTTATGGCTAATACTTTTTCAATTTGTACTCTTTGTCGAGCCAAGTGTTATGTCTGTTTTCCCTTGTGTGTTGTGCTTCTACTCTTCTTTTATGATTCTTTCCAGGTGTCCTTTTTTTTCTTACCCACCTGCCTGTTTGTTACCTTTGTTCTACTTCTAAAAACATCTTAGTCATGCAATCCCCGATGCCCAAACTTCTTTTGACAGATGCAAAAATCAAATAGTCCAAATTCTGTTTAAAATAAATGCATATATCAGCATGGTATCTCAACAGGAATGGATAGTGCCCAAAGCACTCATTGAGGTGAACAAAACAACGTTTAAAATTGGATTTATAAAATACCCGGCTTTAAAATCACACCCATAAAACAACACCATTATCTAGAGGAGACAAAACTGAACACTCTAATAAATTCAGTCTGCTGTCGAATGACTACAACACCCACGTTGCATTGCACAACAATGCAAGATGGAGTGTGAAAGCCAACAGCCACAGTCGGCGATCTAACTGGTGACTGTATGAGCAATAGGTTGTGACAAAAGATTCCAATACTGTCCCTCTCTGTTTACGTCAGAGTGTCACAGGCTACGCCTTCACCAAGCTTCATGGGAGTGTGTGTGTGTGTGTGTGTGTGTGTGTGTGTGTGTGTGTGTGTGTGTGTGTGTGTGTGTGTGTGTGTGTGTGTGTGTGTGTGTGTTGTGTGTGTGTGTGTGTGTGTGTGTGTGTGTGTGTGTGTGTGTGTGTGTGTGTGTTGTGTGTGTGTGTGTGTGTGTTATTTCAGGACACATGCAAATGTTAAAGAAGAGGATGTGGTGTTAAACTCAATAGGGCACTGCAAAAGACCACATTAGTCACTGTGTTCACACTTACACACAAAGCATTCAGACAGGCTTACGGTCCATACCACGCCTCACATGTCGATAACACTACGCATGAAGCGAGATTACATCACAGAGCGATCAAGGCCCTCAGCATGGATGTCATTGTTGAACAATAGCTGGCATGGATTGAAACGGAGCGCTTCTATATTTCCAATGTTAAAAAATATTTTAAAAATAACCTTCACTCAGTAATATTCCCTTTGTTTTGACACTTGTTAACAGAGATTCCTTCCACATGCAATTATTTCTACTGTTCTCCACCCTTACAGTATCTGTTGCATCTTCACAGCTCCAGTATCTTTTTTCACACACTTCAACCCTTTCTGTCTCATCTTACATTTTCTTTTTCTACTCTAACATGAAAAGCCAGGTATCTCATTTACAACTTCTCTCCGTATTCTGCTATCCTTTTTTTCTCCCCTTGCTCCCTCTCTTCAGTGTAACTCAAACACCTTATTAAGTCATCCTTGTCCATGATTTGAAGATGTAATAAGAATATGGGAGTGTGAAGGAAGAAGAAAGCAGACCGATTATTTCAATTGAATTCTAAGACCAAATGTATCATTTGATTCATCAATCTGTCTTGCCAATGTTTGCAATTTTATCTGGAAGGGGTCATTTCCAAGTTCAAACATTTAAAATATTTATTTCAAGGATCCCTACTTTCAGTTTTTTACTTATACCAGAGAGTTGTTTTCACAGTTTCATGTTGTTTTGAATAATACCGCCTGCAGTGAAATCCACTCCCTTCCCTTTCATCACATCTGTTTTACAAATATTTAATTGCCTTGTCCTTTCATTCTTTTGTTAAGATCTCCTCAGACAATCTCTTTTTGTTCCCCCCTTTTGTTTTCTGGCCTCTTTCATCAACCCATGCTATCCAGCTGTCTATTTATTTATGTCCTACCTTCACAGCTGCTGTGTCCTTCCTCGTAGCCGGCGCTGCAGCTGCACTTCCCAATGGGCACCAGCCATTCCCCCTCGGCGCTGCAATGCATCCTGGGAGGGCTGTCAGCGTCCACCTCGGAGTTGTTGACGCAGTTGCCGCGCACCTCCACCAGCGTTGCGAAGGACGCCTCGGCCACCGTGTCGGGGAACACTGCCAGGTTCTGCACGGTCGCTAGGCAACGCTTGTAGTACACCCGCACGGCCACCAGGGCCACGCAGGCGCCCACGTCCTGGAACGCCAGGTGGAAGCCCTTCCTGTTGAGGTGTCCGATCTCACGCACCTCTGTGTTCAGCTTCATCTTCCTCTCGCCCAAGTCGCCTTGCGTGAAGCTCTCGTCGGCGGCGATGGTGTCGATCTTGGTGTAGCGGTCTTCCCGGGTCACGCCCCCCAGGTCCCTGTCCGTCTCTACGTAGAGGAGGTTGAACGTCTCCTTGCATGTTCCCGCCACACCGGGGATGCTGTTGCAGTCGCGCAGCGTGAACTGGAGCTCCACGAAAATGCGCTGGCCCCCCCGACGCGTCACCCAGCCGGTCTGCAGCCAGTTGTTCTGCTGCATGGGCTCCATCACGTTGCACACCTGGTATGTCCGGATGGGTTTGTACTTCTCATCCACACCGCTTATCTCCTCCCACTGGAGAGAGGAGGGCAGGGGGAGAGGGGGGAGAAGAGGAGAGAAGGACAACAATGAGTATTAAAAGGTGGAAGTGGAGGTGAAGTCAAGAAGATAAAAGAAAGAGGAATGAAGCACAACCAAAAAAGCAGAGATGGCAAAAGTACACACATCCTTTACTCAAGTAGAAGTACAGATACTTGTTTTAAAAAATACTCTGGTAAAAGTAGAAGTACTGACTAAACTTCTTTACTCAAGTAAAAGTAAAAAAGTATGGGCTTCAAAATGTACTTAAGTAAAAAGTACCCATAACTAGCAGCTGTTTTAAAGAGTACCTGACCTGCCTTTATATTAATAGAACAATGATGTCATTGTTAGCTAATGAATGTTTCCATGCTGAACAACGGCAACATGACAACGTTTTCATTGGTCGCTCTTCTTTAGAGAAGCCCAGGAAATGATGGATACACGCCAAATAATAATGATCACGCCACCAAACACACATTCAAACTAAAGGAACCAGCCTGTTTGGAAAATGTAAGTAGAAAGTACAGGTATTTTTTTTTTAAATATAAGAAGTAAAAGTTAAAAGTCATCAGAAAAATAAGTATTGCAGAAAAGTACTGATACCAGAAAAATGTACAAGTAACAAAGTATTTGTACTACACTACTTCCCACCTCTGACAGCCAGAAGGGAGTCATTGGTATATCTTTTTAAAAACAGTGAAGCAAATGGATAACATGAGGGAGTGAAGAGACAGAAAACAAAGTAAAGAGATGTGAGCAGGAGGCAACACAGATAATGAAAGACAAAGTCAAAAGTCAGAAAAGTTAATTACACGTTCAATACCCGTTAAAGGTCTAAGGACATAATGTGATGAGTGGGTGTTTAAAAAAGCATTGGCACTCAGATTCCTTAATAACGTCACAGAGAAAAGAAACCACACGACCCCAGTCATTACATCAGCCTTGAGAGATGTTTCCGAGCAGTGGGTCAGACATTAGTCATGGTTTGCCGGTTTCCTTTTATATCCACCGCCTTTCTCAGAGTGATGGCATTTCATAGGAATGTGTTCAACAACACCCACGACTTATAAATACCTTTAGATAATGGGCAAATTAATCAAATATATACATTAATTTCTGTCGTTTTTGTGAATATTCTGCTTTGAACACGGTAATGGGTTTCATGTTTAATTGATTTAAATAAAAGGCGTACATTATTGGTCCCTCTTTTGACAATAGCCTTCCTTTTGGACTACCATTAGTTGAGGGACAAAAGTGACTAGTGGGGGGGGGGTGTTCGGTTTCACAAAGGTTTGCCGTAGTTTTTTTGTTTGCGTTTGTTATTTTGTCTGACTTCATGTGGAAGAGCATTTATCATCCCAGCTGTATTATTTCAAATATTTTGTTCATCTTTCTATTGTTTTAATTTAGAAAAAAACATGGCTTTTGTTTGTCCACAATCATAAAGGTTTGTTTTTGCAGAGTACAACAATCCTGTCTCTGTCTAAATTATTGTTAAATTAACTTAATCAATATGTCAATAAGATAAGCCCACACTAAATTGTATATGTGTAAGGCAAGTATATAATATGTTTGAGTTTTGGGGGAGGGTATTGCAATATTTGACATACTAAAAAGGTGATTTTCTTTTCTTTTTAAATGAAATATGGAAAGAAGGTTGACCTTGCCACTCCCTCTGTAATGACATCATTTAAAGTAAAGTTACATTTTATGTACAGTGCCTTGGTGTGTCCAATAGAAGCAGAGTCACTACTTCTGGTTGTTTTTTTATTGAGTAGGTTTGCAGTTTAAGACTGGAACATTTAATCTGATATATCAATGAATGAATGACTACAGCTCCATGTGACTATTTTATTTACTGTGACGTGATATAATTAAAAGTAAACTGAGCACCAACTGTGGATCTCTCCCTCTGTCTCACACACACACACACTCCGGAGCAAACCACACATAGGAAACAGATTGTCTAAGATGGCAATGTGATAAACCGCACTACTGCCGAGGTGACTAAATCAAAGTGTGCTCTATTGGGGATTGTAGGCGAGTCACACAAGTCCATTAATCTGAAGATTTAGTTTAGCATGCGATCCAACAGCCACCTCACGCAGACAGTGACTCAACAGAATCTGCACTAAACAGTACGTATGTGTACAACACTGTTTATATAATAATAGACACCTTGGCTGTTACGCAGAGAAAGGCCAACCTTTAAGCTGGAAGTGGGTGACAAACTGCTTCGGCAGTGGCAGATTCTTTAAAAAAACAACCTCCTGCTTTTGTCTTGCAGTCATAACTTAGCGCTAAGGTTTTCACAAGCTACATCGATCGATACTGAGGGGGACCATTTATCTGTGGTGGCATATCTGTGAGTCTGCTTTGGACACTGCAGCAGCCCAGCCTGCATAAGCACCATTGATTCATGACGATAATGAGCTCTGGTCTGGGAGAGGAGAACACGGGAAAGGAAGGGAACGATGAGTAGAAGAAGGGAAACAGCATGAGCAGAGGAAGGATGCAAATGTGTGGTCCTGGCCAGCTGTTAGGCAAGCAGCTGTTTGAGGAGCAAAGCGAGTGAACCAGCACATGTACAAACAAACAAACAAACAGCCACAATTAGGGGGGGAAAATGCAAGTAAGCACACTTACTCCATTGGGGGGGTAGGACGTCCAGCCCAGCTCTGCCTGAGTCTCTTTAGAATTCAGCAGCACCACTGCAGGAAAAGACAAACAGAGAAGACCAGAGGTTAATTTAGGAGGGATTATAGAGGTGGTTTGCATTTGTTTCATCTTGTCAGTAGAAATAAAAACGTCACAGTGGCGACAAAGCACGATACAAACTCGGAAAGGAAGAGCAGAATGAAATGTACATGTCTGACAAAGTAAGCCGTTATATTTGAAGTCATTAACACTGAGGCAGGCCTGTAGAAATCTGGTGAGGGTGAATGTTTCCTTTGATAAGTGCATTTACACCATCTGTCGAGGACTTAAGCTGGACAAAGAGTGTTCCATCATCCCCTGGCTACAGTAGTAAAAACACAACAGAGGCCGCAAACAACACGCGAGCATGGAGCGTTCAAAACAAGTCCAGAGACAAACAGATCCCTGCTGTTAGCTTTCCCTCAAGCTGCGGAGAGTCCACTGCTCTTAACCCAGGTTTGTCTCATGGGTTTTACTTTCAGCACCATGGACAGGGAGCAAGAAAGGGTTTGTTTTCAGCATCCTGGACAGCTCCTCAAAATATAGTAGGGTCATGAAAGCAGGGAAAACTTTACATTACTGCATGTGTGGTAAGGTAATAGTAAATAGTTAAACACGTAATGAGTAGTACGTTAATCATTTAAGTTTATTTTGTAGCTAACACATCTATATTTTAAAAAGGGCCCAGTTATGCTCAATTTCAGTTGTCATAATAGACTTTGTGCCTCTACTGTGACATGTTTCCATGCTTTAATGTTCAAAAGGCTCTTTATTTGTCTCACACTGCCTGTGCAGCAGAACCTCTTTTTGCCCTCTGTCTGAAACCACAGCCCAGTCTGCTCCAATTGGTTAGCTGGCCAGCTCTGTTGAGAGATGTCCCGCCCCTTAGCCTATCATGTACAATGTGTTGGATCGCTAGCCAATATAATCACAAATGTTACTTAGTGATGTCATTATGTAACGGACGGAAACATGGGAGTCTAATGGAGGCGTTACAGGCAGGGGGGGGATGTTTTGCAGAAAAACTCCATCTGGAGGGAACTTTGGGATTTCAGACCTACAGTAGATAACACAGGAAAGCGAAAGCCCACAAAAAGAATAATAGGGCCCGTTTAACTTCCATTAACCCCACACACACACAGACATTCTAGAAATAGATGTACAAAGGATATTCAATCGAAAAAGTTACATTTCTAAATAATATTAAATCTTTTAAATTCAGTCATGTTTATGCTAGAAACACCAACATATTTCAAGTTGCAGATTCATTAATGTGAGTGTGTTATGCTTTTGATTCTTACTTATATGATTGTAAATTGAATATAATTATGGTGGGCTCTTGGTGGCTGTTTTCTTAATTTTACAACATTTTTATTGACAAAATGTGTAAATTATATAGAGAATATTCATCAAATTAATCAATTCTAAAAACTTTAAGTAGGTCTTTAGTGGCAATTATATTGTCCTTCTCCTTTTACTGAAGTACGGGACATAAATATTACCAGCACTGACAAATATCCCTGATTACAACAAGAGGCCTGCCAAGTACATAAGCACCCTGTTCAGACCACAGTTGGCATAGCAACCATGAAGCTACAGCTCAGCAGTCATGATGTCTGTGAGAATGGCCGTTGTTTCAAATGCAGCAGTATGCAGCAGGCGTACAGGAGAGCCATCATCAGCACATGTATCTTAATCTATAATGTAATATCAACGACATATGGCGAGCCGCGTTACCGCCCCATTGTTTAAGGATTTTGCTGACATTAAAGTTACCCATGCTCATCTGCTTAAAAAAAGACCTTCCCACACTCATATACAGACAGACAAACACACACACACGCACACACACTTTTGAGTTTCTGGCTCTCCGGCAGTGTTGTCATCACCTACAGCCATGAAGCAAAAGGAGTCTGACAACCAGACAAAACCATGTTTTCATCACAAAGGTGAAGAGCACTATTTTTCATTCTTTCAAGTGCTACCTCCACTCGTGTGTTACTTTGATTTTGTGCTTTAACTTTCAACAATCTCAGGCACCTTGTAAAAAGATAACCTGTGTGACAGTCAGAGTGGGCAGCAGACTGTTTGACAGGTAACCATAGCTCCTGTTCTGATTTCATACCCTCTGCTACATGACACACATTTGGCTATTTTAACAACCGGGCACATGGACATCCCGGTGAGCAAAGAGCAGAAACCTACACAGTGTGACTCATCCCATAGGCCTTGTAAAATGTGACGACTCACAACCTGTTTTCCACTGACTCATGTTCTGATAAGGAGGCTATGGACAATGTTGGATTGTTGATGTTTTACAGAAGAAAGTGTTGAAATAAACCGGTCGATACATCGGCTGGACGTTCCAAACAAACCTACATATAACTTGCAGCAAAATAAATTAACTGGGAAAAGTACTTTCTCAGTTATTTTAATTTTTTTTATCCCAAGGCCATGACTCCATCAGCTCGTGGGAAGAATATTCGGTAACACTTTATTTTGATAGTCCACAGTTGACACTCTATAAGTCATCAGTTGACATTCAACAACACTGTTTCAACAGACAAGTAACACGCATGTAACTAACTGCCAGTAGAATATAAGGTACATCTCAAGTGTTGATCTATAGATTTTACAAAAAGTGTCTGTTGACTGTCAACAGGTTATTAACCGATATTCAACCTCACAAATTAATTTTGAGTAGTTGATTTTCAATGTTGAAGATGTTGACACAATCTACAGATAGTAAGGTTAAATATTGGTTAATAAGCTGTTGCAAAAAACATGTTACTTTTCCGTTTGAACGGTGCTGTTGAATGTCAACTGATGACTTATAGAGTGTCAACTATGGACTATCAAAATAAAGTGTTGCCGAATATTCTTATAAAAGTAACACAAGTGCTATTTGAGAGTCCTAAAAAATGACTTTCTTCTCAGTTTCACTGCAGTTTGGATAGCTAACACCCTTAGAGGCATGTGAGAGTGAAGTATTTTTTCCCTTCTTTTTTAGGGTTTGCTTAAAAGTGAGATACTAGTGCTTTGGCTGAAGTGCAGGGAATTCTCGCTGGACCATGAGAGATCCTTTACTAAACACTTAACTTTATTATGTTTTGGGTTAACACTACCGGGTGCCCAAAGCATGGTTCTGTGGAAAGCTGATAACATAGAGGCATTTGGATAAAGATTAGAGAGGGAGAGGGACCAAGGGTGGTAGAGACACGCTGAGAAAGGCTGAGGTGGGAAGCAAAGAGAGACAACGACAGAAAATAATCAGCGGAGGAGGGTGAGGAAAGGCAAGAACTTGAAACGGAGAGAAAGACAAAAGAATAGTTGGCAAGAAAGGCAGACAAAAGAGAAAAGTGCACATGGAGTGCAAATAAATGAATACTCGGGCGATACACGGAGGGATCAGTGTGCCTCAGTGAGCAGTCAGTCAGTCAGGTAGAGACTCTGAGGACAGAGTTGGCACTATGATCACACAGTGAACACATAAGTCCTGCAATCACAGCCGAGTTAGACAGACTAATGGGCCTTAGGGGGCAGGAGGGAGAGAAAATACAGAGACACAGCAGCCAGAGACAATAAACACAAAGCAGGCAAAAGAAGGGTCACTGAAAGGGAGGGGGAAAAGTTAGAGAAAGAACGTGTGACAATGAAACAAAAGCTCTCCGTCTGCGCTACTAATGGCTCTGACTAATAGCTGTAACACATTAGCTACTAAACACCAATTGCAAAGCTTTTTTTCATAAATAATTGGTCATCATTACAGGGACAATGTGGATCTATGAGCCAATTGTTGCGGGGGGGCATTTGGCCTCAGCACTATGTAGGACACACAAGACAAGACTGACTCCCACACATAAAAGATAAAACACAGTCCCGGCTCAGTACAGGTGACGCAGATGCATAAAGTGTAGAAGTCTACTTTGACATAACTTGGAGAACTTAAGTACAGAATGCTTTGTGTCCGGTAAGAACAAGAAGAGAAGACATAGGGGAAGGAAGAAGAGCATCAAATGGCTTTTAGAAAATATAGAGGACTTAAAAAGAAATAGATATTTGATCATTTACAGCAAGAACACACACACATGTCCAGTAATTGAGCAAAACGTATCTTGAACCCTGTCTTGCAATTCAAACCATACATGTTTGCAAATGTTACGGTTTAGGAGCCAACTTTTAGGTATACTAAAGAGTACAACAGTAATAGTCTAATCAAATGTTTTATTTAGAATGGAAAACATCATCTGTATTTCATTTCAGAAAAGAGCCTTTCATGAAGAGTGCAGAACGCATTATGAAAAGATTGGAGTCTGACTATAAATTGTAGGTTTGAATATCATGTGTATTGTAGCTGTGCGTGTTAGTTGTAGGAGGTGTTGCCATCTTCTCCTTTGTCACAGTGATAGGTTTCAATAAAAATATATGTAAGAGTGAGCGCCACTTTCTACCGCTCAACCTCGCCTCACCCACCCTTTCATCCTTCTGTGGCGTCTGTGATGTATTAATTGAGCTGTTCAGCCTTGCTGATACACAAGGACGAGACACAGTGACGGATACAAAGTGAGCACTGCGGGAAGAGACAGCTGCAGGAGAAAAATCCACTAGCACTCAGGTGAAGTGCTCAAAGCAGGGACAGTGGGTCTTTGGTGCACCCATTGCTCTCAGGAAGATGGAGACTCTGGCCTTGTCAAGTAACCTGCTCTTACAAAGCTATTTTCTCCGTGTAGTTGGGGAGGATAACAAAGCATTTCAAGAGTCTCTAATGATAAGAACTCGGATCATGTTTGCGTGTGCACTGCGCATTAACTTATCGTTAGACCTCCAGCCAAGTACTTGATTTGAACTGAGAAAAACACTAGAGAGAACAACAAGAAATGTAGTATAGTGCTCTCACTAAAGAACTAAATAGTGTACAGCACTGTCAGGAATATAGATAACTAGCACAGACAACTTAAATCCCTCTCAGTGAAAGGAGCTCATTTCATAATTGGTCTTGGCTGTGTGTGCTTCA